GACGGGGGCGTGGCCGGCTGCAGGGCCAGGCGGGGTCACTCCCCTACCTGTATTGGGATCCAAAGCTTCGGAAGGTGTTCCTGGGAAATAACGAAGTGAGTGTCCGAGGTGGAAAGGGCGCCTGTCTGGGCACCTCACTCCCACCTTGGGAGCCACCGCCCTCTCCGCCATCCCACTGAAGGATTACACTGCGCCTTCACAGCACTTTAACACCGAAAGGGTGAAGTTGCCAGGGTCCGGACTGACAAGGTGTACCATTTGATAGGAAGTAAACATTTATTCATTTTGAAATTGCGATTTTCTTGTGGCGTATTGGAGTCAATCAATTTTTCCCAGGTCTCACATTTCTAAGGGCCCCCCACCCTCCCTCCTTCAGGTACGGGCTCCCCAAGCGTGTGGCAGGTATCACTTACAGGGAGTCGAAAGGCAGGGGCTTTTGTCCGTAGCGGTCCAAGCTGGGGTTCTGATTGAGGCAGTACTGGGGCGGACCACAGGGATGGGCGGCCAGTGAGGGGGGAAACATCGACCCACGCCCCCTCTCGCCCATGCTCCATATAGAGCTCTCTGCCAGACCTTTTGGCCTGGGGATTGGGAGACTCTGCTCTAGGTCTTCTCCCTCCCCACCAGGACCCTCGGGGACCGGTCAGCGTGCAGCCGTACCCGCCAGGTCTGGGTCACCTCGGGCTTCAAGTACCGCACCGCGTAGCCGCTGAAACCCTCGACTGCAGAGAGAGTCCATTCTTAGACCTCCAACCTGCTCCAGACAAGCCCCGCCCCCTTGCCTAGCCCCCGTCCCACATTGCTCCTAGAACAGGCCACGCCTCCACCGCTCTGCCTGGCCAAAGCCTCCCCCTCCACATCCTTCTTCGCTGGTTCCAGAACTAGCTCTGCCCTCAGATCCTGCCCAGTGGCGGCACCCCTGGTCTGGCTCTGGCCCCTGCCTCCTCCCCAGTACGAGCCCGCCTCCAGGTCTCTTGCTAGTTTCAGTCCCTCAGACTGTAAGTGCCCAAGCCGCTCCCCAGCTCCTCTGCCCAGTCTGTCCCTGCTGGAGCCAGCAGTCCACACTCCCCAGTCCAGCCCCGCAGCCCACGTGCCCCTCAATCTCTCCTGCCCTAGAGCCTCCTCTGTGGCAGGTAGACCTACCCTTCTTGCTTGGGCAGGGTAGCTTGAACTCCCCGGCCGAGGACACCAGGCGGGACCAGTCCTCGATCGCTCTCGTGTAGCAGGGCCAGTCGACCTGGTTGATGCCTGGCACGATGGGAGCCAGCTTTCCCTCGCGGTACCTGTTGCGGAGCTTCTGGCCTGTGGCTGTGATGTCCTGTGAGGGTGATGTGGGTCAGGGCTGTGGCTGTAGGCGTGGGAGCCTGGGAGGCCACCCCAGTACACCCCATAGGCATGAGCTGACAATTGGCCCCTCTGATTGATGGGATGCCCAAAGCTGGGAACCAGGATGGGGTGGTGGTGGTGGTAGAGATGGGGTCCCAAATAGGTAGCTGAGGAGGTGCTCAGGGAGTAGAGCTGAAGACCACAGGAGCTTCCAGCTGGGTGCAGGCTGGTGCCCCTTAGCAAACCCAGGGCCAGGGGGAAAAGATACTCACCAAACACTGTAGGGGTTTGTTGGGGATCCCAAGGAGTGTGAAGCGGACATTGTCAAAATCATCTGTTGAAAGAAGAGAAAGAGAGATGAGATGTCTTTTCCAGCAGAGGTCACAGGCACATACAGGAGAGATCTGGCCCACTCTTTGCTTTAAAAAGTTTATGAAATATCTAATGACTTAAAAAAACATAATATAAAATAGTATCCATGTATCACTCCTTACAATAGAATGCATTCCAAATAGATCAAAATAATAATAATAATAAAATAAA